GCGAAGCTCGGTAAATAAGAGATACGCTTCTTTCCTCTATTCTACATTCAAATTCTCCTCCGTTCCGTTGTGCAAGATTTCCCATCTCTTGGGCCGCAATTCTTATTTCTGGCGTTCTAAATAATTCTTCGCCAGACCGCGCAACAATTTCCGAGGAGCCGTCCCTATTTCTATTATTCTCCCCAATCGATTGAAGATTAATAATAGATTCTGGAAATATTGTTTGTTCTTGTTGTCTTGCGAATTTTTCCTCATAGACTTCGCTACTCCACTTGCATACATTTTCGGCCACTTTCCGTGCTCCACGTTCTATAATGTTTCCCTCGGCTTCTCACTCCGAATTATCCTTACTTAACTTAAAGCAAGCTGCTCTGCCCATGAGATGACGCTCAAAGGCACCTGTTCCCATTGCTGCAGCCACAGCACCAGTCAAAGCAAGGCTACCACCGAAACTAAATGGTGCTGCTAAGGCACCAAGAGCTAACAATCCAAGACCACCCACCCTCGCTCCAGTTGCCGCTTGTCTTAATTCCATAGAACATATGTCAGGATTAACTATCGCGTTAGCAACTTTTACTGCGTATTTGTCAGCATACTCAGAATGACTAGTTGTTACTGTCTCGTCAGATAGAGCCAACATATAAGAGGTGTCGGATTCTACTGCCTCATATCTAACATTGTCGATTGATTTACTAAACCAATCCCGAGTTGCGTGGGTCCGCAAAATAACTTTTAAAATTATTTTCTTCAAATTTGTTTACTACCATAATTAACTTTTACTTATTATTATATTATAATTTTATTCTTAAATTATTCTTTTTCTTTGTTTTTAGAAATTTAGAAATTTCACACTTGTTCCACTTCCGCAAAAAAAACTCTTAATCCAGCCCAAACATCCTCACAATGTAACCATAACTTCTAATAACCACTCCTTAAAATACATTAATATTGCTAGAAATGCCGAAAAGAATCAGTTCGCAAGTCTTATTTTACCAGTTTCCCTTCCAAGTAATCAAGCATTTTGTCTTATCCACTATTCTTACAGGAGTGCGAAATATCTTAAACAAAACCATTCTTAATATTTGACAAAACAAGGGAGCAATCAATAATTACGCCACTTTATTACCCACTCAATTATCAGGTTGAGGCCACTGAATAACCAAAGAACGATTTGTTTTAATAGGACTATTATTAGTAATTATTTTTTCTACAATTTATTATTTCGATGACTTAACCGAGGGAGAATTAGGAATAAAGGGGGGGCATTACAGCAAAAGGGTTTTGCTGGAAAAATTTCGGCGTTTGCCTTTACAAGAGAAGGGTCGCCAGGCCGAAAAAATTATTAATTTGGTGGAAAATGATACGGCAACAATTGGTGAGTATTGAGAACATTTATATAACCATTCTTATCATAGTATTCTTGACATTATTCTTATTATTTATTTTTCCCAAAAAGAATTATTTTCGTTGGGAGGAAAACGAACAATTTTCTTTTTTTCTTGATTTGTCTTATTAGGGGCAGTGGCTTATTTTTTTAACCGCATAATTTTTCGTAAAGAATTAACATATAAGAAAAAATTAACCACCGAGCGAGCGTTGCGAAACAAGGAGATAAATAAGTCTATTTTAATTGAGAGTATGGGACTAACATCCAAATTTCGGTCCCAACACGAAAAAATAATTCGGCAGCACGAAAAATGGCTTTTCGGTTTTAACCGCACCAAATCTTTCAGTCGCAGCCTCTCGTATAAACTCTTGCTAGAAGCTTTTCCTTTTCTACTCTTACTTTTCAATTCAGGCTCTTTTGATGGGTTAATTTTAGGAGCTTTTTGACAAATTTTAAATGCCCTGGCTAACATTTTTTATTGCTTTCGGGATTATGCTGATTACGCTTCCTCCCAAGAAAGAATTAATAATTTTTTGGCTTTGCCGGAAAAAAATGATAATTTATCAGGCTGCCAATTGGCTTTGCACCAAACCATCAAAAATATCGAGTTGTGCCAAGTTCATTTTCGTTATCAAGACCAAGAACGTTGAGTTTTAGAAAACTATAACCGCACTTTTGCCAGCGGTCAAATTAACTATTTACGCGGCAAGAATGGCACCGGCAAAAGCACTATTTTATATCTTTTGCTGGGCATGCTGGTTCCTCAATCTGGGCAAGTAATAATTACGACTGAGGAAAACCAGCATTATAACCTTCATTCGGCCTTAAATTTACGTTTTTGACGCGAGAACAACGTGGCTTATTGTTCGCACGATAATTTAACGGAAAAAGGCTCAACCGGACAGAGGCAACTAGCCAATATTAACAACCTTTTTCAGCAAAAACTAACCGCCCAAATCTGGCTTTTTGACGAGGCCGATAATGCCCTTGACAAGGATAACCAACAAAAATTACTGGCTCGGTTGGAAGAATTAGTCAAGCAAGGCAAAATAGTTATTTACATTAAGCATTAGAACAAAAAGCGTAAAGGGATAAAATTGACACTTGGGGCTTATGAAGATTGAAAAAAATGGCAATTATATAAGAAATTACCCTAAAAAATTTTGGTTGGTTTTTTATTACTCGGGCAAAAAAAACGTCCTTTTTCTATTATTTTTAAATTACTTCAAGTAATTTAGTTGAAAATAAAAGCAGAAAATAATTTTGTATGATGTAATAACTATTTTTGATTAAAAAAATTTCCAAACCTTTAATTTTTTTAGAAAAAATGATTGGTCGTTTTGTTTGGTGTAAAATGTGTGTTATTGCCAAAAATTAAATGTTTAGCCAGAATTTTTTTGTCAGCATCTCGCCAGTTCCCATTTTTCTCTTGTTTTTTGTCAGCTTGGAGGTGGTTTTTTTTCAAAGTTTTTGGCTACTCTGCTTTGAATGAAGCGTGTTATTGCCTTGCCACTGGGACGCCAGCACAGATAGATATTGTTAACAAATACCAAAATCAATTAGTAGTATTTTTATTCAAAAAACTCCCTTGAATACCGGAGATTATAAGCAGATTAAATGACGTTAGTCAGAAAAATATTATGGTAATTTAAAAAATTAGTCGAGGACGAAAATTAATTCCTTTTTTGCTTAAATTAATTTGTGATTTTTAAAATATTGAAAACAAAGAATTTTTTGTAAGTCGATATTATTACTTGGTGGTAAAACTCTTATTGATGGAAGAGTTACAATTATTTAATTCGCAAAAAAACGCACTCGAAAAATTAAAAATCGAACCAGGGAAGAGTGTCACCATTTACTTATGTGGACCCACGGTTTACAACCATATTCATATCGGTAATTTACGACCTGTGATTATTTTTGATATTCTTCATCGTTTATTATTAACCTGGAATGTA